GCCCTCAGCCAGGGTCAACCCATCACACCAGAAAACACTGCCATGCACTCACAGCTTAGCCCATTTTGTTTTTTAAATAAACAGTACACATTTACTGAAAGTCAGGGAATAGCTAATGAGATACATTCAATAAGCAAACAGAAGGTATTACTTGGAAAATCCTCCCTATCTTAAGTCACTTACCAAAATTAATTCATAGAATCATAGAATGGTTTGGGTTGGAAGGGACCTTAAAGATCATCTAATTCCAACCCTCCTGCTGCAGGCAGGGACACCCTCCACTAGGGTGTATTTCTCTTTCAACGAGGGTGTAGATGTTTAAGAAAAATACAAAATTTCTATAAGGAGAAACTCAACTTGGATGGGATTTAAACTGTATTTGTGATCTTAAATATTGTATAAGCAATACTTGTTACATAGAAAGAAGTAAAGATTCATGTTTAGTACATTAAAATCTGAACAAATAAACCTCATAAAATTAAAGACACAGTAAACATAAAATGTTACTCAGTGCTCTTAATTTCAGATTTTAAAGATCCTCAGCTTTTACATCCGAGTTTGTGAAGCCTGAGGAAGTAATGTCTTAAGGGTTGCAGAACGGTTCTGTTTGATTAAAAGACAATTTTATGTATTATTATGGACTTACAAAAGAAAATTAACTCATATATGTTTGGATTCTTGCTCAGACAGCTGTTGTGGGTTTTTTGGGTTGGGTTGTTTTGGGGTTTTTTGAGGCGTTCTTATTTATTTATTTAATGTTTTGGGGTTTACCATGCAGTTCAGCTAAATGTTTTACAGATCAGTTTGATGCATATAGTCTGCAATAATCTGTGGTTGCCTAAAAATAGAACTCTTATTCCTCAAGATTTTGCATTTTATTTTCTTTTAGGCTTACTGTGTAACAGAGCCTGGAGCAGGCTCTGATGTGGCTGGTATAAAAACAAAGGCTGAGAAGAAAGGAGATGAGTATGTTATTAATGGTCAGAAGATGTGGATCACAAATGGTGGGAAAGCAAACTGGTGTGTTAACTGTTAACTCGTGTTATATTTTCTGTTGTTATTTTCTATAGTGACTTCCCCCCTCCACCCACCCAAAAGTTAAATTCTTTAAAGATCTGTTATAAATCTGGATGTTCATTGTGTTTCAACACACTACACTTTAATCTCTGACCAGTGTGTCAGGATAGGATATAAGAATGTAGTCTCAGTGCTGTGCAAAGCCTAAAAAGGAAAATGAGCAATGACATGACAACTCCTCACTCAAGAAGGCCTCTTGAATCTTGCTGCTATCAAACAAAATTAATTCTGCTTTTTCTTCAGGGCAGGACAGCAACAGTATGATTTAACTTGCAAAATATTCAAGAGGCTTATATTACTATCTACCTTGCTCTGTAGCTGTGGTGATTGAGGTCGGTTGCTTCTGATTCTACTAGAAACTCCTCTCACTTCTAGTGAAGCTAGAAACACTCTTGGATTGTGGTGTTATGTTTTATTTTCTGAAGGGAAGACCTTTTCCAGCTGTCAAAGAATCCAGATACTGCTGTGGTATCTATGGAGTGTGCTTTATGATATAAACCTCTTTCATCATGTCTCACATCACACCAGTTCACAACACAGAAGTCCTTCTTAATTCAAGTGGAAAAACTTCATACCTTTATCAAATAACTAGAAAATCCAGCTTTTGATTTCCTTGTTCAAGGTAGATCCATCAAAGACAATTTACCAGATATCTTTTGACGTTACTGAACACCATAAGTGTGATTTACAACTGTTTAATTTCTAAGAGAAATACTTATTTACAACTTGTACTTAGAAGAATAAAAATAAGATCTTTGAAATCAAGTGATAACATTTTGCATGCAAGAGTATATTTCCTAAATATTAATTTTTATGTACATGCTGTGAATAGGTTTCTTTTGTACTATTCATGAAGCTGATAATACCATAAATATATAAAATACATAGAAAAGCTGGGAATCTTTGCATGTTGATCTGAAGTAATTCTATTAAATTTTATGAAATCTTGAATCTTTAAACTTCCTTTCTCTCACTCCCTCTCAGTTTATTTATGGGAAGGGCAAGAAAAAAGGGTTGTTAACTTACAGATAGAATTTATTATATGGTAGAAGTGCACATAAAACCATTTAAAATGTTAGCTAAAAAAGTATCTGGTTGTTAATTGTGACGATAAACTGCATCCTTCTTCTTTGTTTTGAACTAGGTATTTTTTGCTAGCTCGTACCAATCCAGATCCAAAAGCTCCTGCAAGCAAAGCCTTTACTGGATTCATTGTAGAAGCAGATAGCCCAGGAATCCAAATTGGAAGAAAGGTGAAGACTGTATCTCTTATTTGACAAGCTAGGAATTATTGTTCAATTCTAAACCAATAATGCAACAATTACCATTAAAGGAAAAAAGACTCAGCTGAACATTTTCATATGCTCATGTACTGTCATCTTTTCATTTTCACAACGTACAGAAACTATTCATAAGACATACTTAATTATAATTTTATTAATTCAGATAAGAAATTATTCAGAATGGTTTAAAGTAAGATGACTTTGAACAGCTGCAGAAGAATCTTTGAGAACTATTTTATTAACAAATGCCAAAAAATGCCTCGAAAGGATAGGAAGGAAGTTGGACAATTTTAACGATAAATGTGCACACAGTGACCTTTAATTTTAGCTACTGCTGGTTGAGGAAGAGGCCGTGGAGACACTGGTGTTAATTCTCTCTTTAAAAAAACAAGAGAACCCCCCCCCCCACTATTTTTATTAGTAGGAATCTGAAAACTTTAAAAGCTCATTTATTTATTTAGTTGTAGTACACCTGTACTGCTGCATATTACATTCTTTACTTTTTCCATTCCCATCTCAAAAGGATATAGTTGAACTAGAGAAAGACACAAGACTGATTACAGCTACAGAACTGATTTCATATAAGTAGAAACTGCCCAGCTTAGACAAATTAAGGGCATGCTGGTCTGCAAGTGCAAAACTAGTATTTCTCGTGTATTTCATAATTTTTAGATGAAGTGTTTTGGGGAAAAAAGCATTCTTTGAGTAAACTAAAGAATGAAAACACCTTCGAATAATCCAATTTAGGTGCGCCTCTGTAAATTTCCCTTTTCAGGAAATGAATATGGGTCAACGCTGCTCAGATACAAGAGGTATTGTCTTTGAAGATGTGAGAGTCCCAGAAGAAAATGTATTAATAGCTGAGGGAGCTGGCTTTAAAATCGCAATGGGAGCTTTTGATAAGACCAGACCACCCGTAAGTATCAGAAGTAACTTACTTATAAAATATAGCAGAAATTTCTGATTTTTTTTTTATTCTGTGCTGTATTCAATTCAGGTAGCAGCTGGTGCTGTTGGATTAGCAAAAAGAGCACTTGATGAAGCTACTAGATATGCTTTGGAGAGAAAAACTTTTGGGAAAGCAATTGTTGAAGTAAGTGGAGGTGGGGGGGGAAGGGGGAGAGAGAGAATATAAATAAAAGCTATGTTTTCACTCCAGATGTACTACTACTGATTTTTCAAGGGTATTCCTTGATTGGTTTAGTTCCTTAATTTTTATAATTTTAATTTTTATATGACAACTCTGCTGGTTTTGGGTTTCCAGGTATATAGGTCGGCACCGTTTAAGTAAACTTAGCTATGTGGTGACTTCAGGAATTTTTCTGTAATTTATCAGTGATAATAGTAAAAGCAGAAAGAAAACTGCCCCAAAACATGAAATTCATGTACGGTCTGGACATACTTAAGTTCTTCAGTGCTAATAAACAGGGATTTTCAGGAAAGGAAAAAACCTCTGAGGTATGTGAAACAAGACACACAGTATTAATACTAATAGAATACATTGCAAATCACACCACTGAGCAGTTATAAAGAAACACCAATAAACAGCAAGGTAAATACCAATCTCATAAATAGTAAAGAACAACTTCATAATTCAGTATTTAATCTCTATGACAAAATAGATTTGAGAATTAAAAACTTGAAAGTCTAATTCAACATACAATTATGAGAGCCCGATCCATATTCCGTAGAACTCCTCTAGTACAATTTACTGAGTTTGTTGACAAGATCACTGTATTAAGAAGATTATATTTTTTCTTGGATGTCACAGAATTTTAAGTGGGCAATGTTAACCTAGTTTATTTCGTCACTTATAGCACCAAGCAGTGTCTTTCTTGCTTGCTGAAATGGCAATGAAAGTGGAACTTGCTAGGATGGCTTACCAGAGAGCTGCATGGGAAGTCGATGCTGGTCGCAGGAATACCTACTATGCTTCCATTGCAAAGGCATTTGCTGGTGACATTGCAAACCAAGTAGCTACAGATGCAGTACAGATTTTTGGAGGAAATGGATTTAATACTGAATATCCTGTAGAAAAACTAATGAGAGATGCTAAAATCTACCAGGTAAGTAAAACAGAGAATGTGATCTTTATAGTAACGCATAAATTATTTTATATAAAATAAACTAATGGCTACTTATTTCAAATGATGATGTACGCATATTAAAAAAAAAAAAGTTTTTAGAATGAAAGCAATAATCCTTCAATTTAGAGAGTCGCACAAATCAGGCAGATTCTTGCAAACAGAAATCATTGCACTGGAGCAACAACTCAACCCACCTAAGAGAAATAATAACCCACCTAAGAGAAATAATGGGGCCCTTTTTTGTTTTTGTTTTTTTTTTTTCCTTTTTTCTGCAATGTGGTAACTCATTGAAATTCTTGGGACTCTTAATTTTGAAGCTTTTGAACTCATAGGAAAAAAATGTTTGAAATACCAATGCTTGCTTTGGTATTCTATAAGTAGAGATGGTTTATGTATAATGCTGTGTTGTAAACCTTCAGTGATGGAAATCCTGTGACCATCCACATGTATCCTGGACTGGTGCTGCCTGTAGTTTAGCTTTCCTCTTAGCCTCAACTCTAAAGCAGCTTCTTCACCCTTTTCCTTGTAAGATGTGGGGTTTTTTTTGTGTTGCTTTGTTTTGGTGTTTTGTTTTGAGGTTTTTTTGGGGGGATGGAATGGTTGGGTTGGGTTGTTTTGTTTTTTCTGTTTCCAGCTTCTTCATCATTTGTTGCTGTGCTCCAAACCTTCTGTTTGAAACTTTGGTATCATAAGCTGGGTAGAATACTTTGGTTGAGATATCAGCAGTATTGAGTATCATGGAATGATTGTCTTGCATGTGTTGCATTAACAGAAGTGTGACACAACCTGGAGTGATTAGCCTTTTTTTTTTTTTTTTTTAACAACAAAACCCGCTCATATTTACTTATGTTTAGCTCAGTCACCCATAATCCCCAGGGTTTTTTTCCTGCAGTGTTACTGCCAAGAAATTATTCCATGTCATGTTGTAATTCTATTAGCATATACTATGCTACAGTTTTCTATTCAGCAAGAATATTTTAATTGTGTTCAGCAAAGCCAGTAATCTTTATCTTTTCACCTTTGTATGATGTTAGTAGTGACTAGGTAAAGCATATCAAAATAGATGCTATCAAGAAATGCATGTGGACCATGACCTGTAATGTTAGCTATAACAGTGCTCATTCTTAAGATTCTAGGTAGTTAATATTTCTCTTACAGCTGACTTTAAAATTAAAATTATTATTCTCACTAGCCAAGAATTAATTTTTCTGTATTTAAGGAAAGACAACCACTATTTTGGAATCTAAAGGTTCTTAGAACTAATGGCACTCCTGTGATTGAGGAAATAAATGATTAATTGAACTTTATTATGATTGGGCTTTTTTCTTGTCAAGTTGCCTGCTTTTCTATAGAAAGGTGGTGTGGGGGTTAGAACTTTATTTGAAAGCAGAAATTGATTTTCCAGGCTCCCAGTTACTTAGATTTTTCCATTACACTGATCCATCAGAAATGCATGGCTAAGTAGTCTTTTTTTTTTTAAATTGTTCAGATTAATTAGATTTAGGGTTTTTTGTGTGTGTGTGTGTGTTCTTCTGTTCCATTTCATCCCCAAAAGAATTCAGGAAAGGTTTTTGTCTTTACAGGTTTTTTTTTTGTCCATGTCTCTTGCACTCTAGCTGTATTGCTGCCCAGTTCCAGATGGTACATGCTCTTGGCCATATGTTTCACGTACAAAAACTTGATTTTCCAACTTTTCTTCCATATATTTGATCTTTTTCAGGATTACACAGTTCTAATACTGTGTTTACTGGTACCATTTTTACATGTCCTTACTCTACTCTAGGTTTGTCTGGCTACAAATGTAGGCTACTCTGGTAGAAAAATCTTAACTTAGTTTCCTTTCTCAGATTTGGAAAACTTCCTTTCTTTAATTGTCCATGATTCTTGGAACTATTTCCGTCAGCTTATAAACCAAAATCTTTCTTGTAATTACTTAAGAAGATGGTGCATTTTGATGTCTTTAAACTTCAGTTCCATGGTTGTCTTCATCAGCAAGTAATTTAGTGCAATAGGAGCAGATTAGTAGATTGCAGGAATAGCTGCTGAGGCCCCTACAACTACACTATATGCAGTATGGGCAGTTGAGTTCTTAGGAAGCCCGTTTAGTCCCTTGGAGTCCCTGATATGCATGTAAATGTAAGGGTCCATTTGTGGGCTTGGACCATTATGTCTTCTTTAGGGATTGGTGGGTATTTGGTGTATAGAGAAAGCAGAGCTCCAGAAGGCACCTAGTATTCACAAAACACAATCCGCTCTATTAACTGGACCAACATGGGGTAAACAGCATCAGTCAGAGAGTTCACTTTGGGAATGAACAATTTCTTCTGAACCAAAAAACCTGATGTGAATGCAGATTATAGCATCTTTATTTTCAAAAAGCTTTGTAAGGTTCTTGGGAAGATTATTCCTATAAGTGAATGAGAAAGTGAATTTGCATTAATTTGAGCAATTTGCCAAACCAAGTTCTGGCAGAACTGGGAGCTGAAACACTTAAAACCCTAAACTATGTTGCCTCAGCACTTGCATCACATTGCAGTATACCTGTGGAGCATATGGCCTCCTTCAGCATTAGAGCTTTGTATATGCTTTATTGTCTATCTTTGCTGCTAGCCCAGAACAGAGGGATGACGCAGACTGTTTCTAGAAGAGAATGCAAGAATCCATGATTAAAAAAACAAAAGAAAAAACAAACAAAAACTCTATGGGAGAGAGTACTAGTTAACAAGAAGCAATGGAATAAATGGATCAGAGAGAACATTGGGTATGACCTTGAAAGGCTAGTCAAAGAAAATACACCACGTTCAGCACAAGTCACCTCCTTCCCTCCACCTAAGAATGTTTTAAATCCTACTTTGTAAAACCTAAATTATACATTTTCTTCCTCAAATAAGAAAATTTCCTCATCCTTCTTCACCCACCATGTCTGTTTATTTTCCTGAGAACCTTATTGAGTTTGAATAAGAACACCTTAGAGAAGAAGGCTGTCTCTCAATATCTTGAATGTGATTTATTCCATTTAACTCACTGTAGTTACTCTGTCACACTGGAATTTTCTCAGTTTTCTCTGTCTTTCTGCACATCCCAATCCACACTGGATTAGTGCAGTGAAGGTTTAAAAGTGTAGATGTTAAAACCTTTAAAAAAAATCATCAGCTAACATTATTGCAATTCTTCTTTTCAGATTTATGAGGGAACTGCTCAGATTCAAAGGATGATCATAGCTCGTGAACATGTTGGCAAATTTAAGGCTTAAAGGAATGTATAAAGTGTGTCTGGCAGTGTTGTAGTGCTCTGTGCTCTCATGGAAGAGGATTTTAGTGCCTTTCTCAATAGAATTAAAAAGACATGGAGAAAAAAACGTAAAACAACTTTCCTTCAAAGTCTTCTTATTCTGGACATTATTAAGCACTACTACTGTTCTCCCTGTCCAGTCCCTCCCTTCATTCCTGACTGACAAAGCTGGTGTTTTCTAAACATTCTGAATTCCAAAGTGATTGTTTGTTCAAATAGAAAATGCTCGAGAATGAGAACGATGCAATGTTTTCTTACTATAAAATTGGATGAGAATGTTATTTCTGACAGTCATTGCTGCATTGTAATAAATTCTTTTTTTTGAGAAGTGTGGTTGGTTTTTATTCGTCTTGCTTGTCATATCACTTAAATTGTATTTTGGGTAACTTGTCCAGTGTCTGAAATATATTAATAGCTGGACTTCAGTTCCTACTATGCTACTGCCAAAGCAGCTGAGTAGCCTTTCCAGTTCAGCAGTATGAAAGTCTGCAGTGCTATTGTCTGCATGTGTGTCTGTTAGGACAACTTAGTTACTATCCAATAGTAACGTGGCCTTTTACACTGTTACACTCATTTAAGCAAGTAAATGTTCAATTAGGATGATTCTCTTGAAGTAAAAGTGTGTATATCCAGTAAATCCAGTATTATTTAATAACTATTATTCCTTTCCATCAGTGTATATACTTAACTATGTTTGCGGCAAGAACAGATAAGAAGGAATTGTTGCGAGATTATTTTTTTAACCTTGGTTAGACCCTTCTTGGCAGTGCTGGCAGAATGGAACCCTACACAAATTACTCTGCACTAGTGAGGCTGAACCTGCAGTACTGTGTCGAGTTCTAAGCTCCCCAGTACAAGAAAGAGATGGACTTAACTGGAGGGGGTCCAGCACAGGGCAACAAAGATGATTAAGGGAATGGAGCATCTGTCATGGGAGGAGAGGACTTCAGCCTGGACAGGAGAGGGCTCGGGGGCAATCTTATGTACAATAAATACTTGATAGGATGCAATGAAGAGGAGGGAGCCAGCCTCTCCACAGTAGCGCCTGCTGACAGGATAAGAGGCAATGGGCACAAATTAAAACACAAGAAATTCCACCGGAACACACAAGAAAACACTTTTTTTATTGTGAGGGATGTCATACGCTGGCAGAGGTTGTAGAGTGTCTGTCTGCGGAGTTACTCAAAACTCAACTGGACACAGGCCTGGACAACCTGACATACATAAAAAAAAAAAGCGTATTTTTGACTGTTCTGTGCAAGCCAGCATTATACATATTTATTGTATAGAATCAAAATGGTGTTTCTGCCAGGTGTGGTTCTGTGTAGGATGTGCCAACATCAAGTGTTGATAATCAGTAGCATAATCATTCTAGACAGTTTTAATTAGTAAGCAAAGTGTTTGGTTTCTGGTTCTTTTTTGAACAGAAGAACAATTAGCCTTACCTACTCTGTGACTAAATTCTTGGATTTGCTTTCCCATAGAACTGAGGTAACAGAAGGCACCTGAAGCTGTTTCTAGATGTTGTCCTGTTTGCTTTATGCAAGAAAGCGCACAGCTGGAGTTAGCATACTTTAAATTTACTCCCTCAGCTGTTTTAAGATAACCTTTACTTGTGGCGAGCCGGAACGTCTTCGCGCACACGGGCTGGAGGGGGGCCCCTCCCGCGGGCCCGCTGC